AAAGTAAATAAAATGAATCCCAACTATATAATCTCAATTGAAAAGAACATTGCAAGTGATAGCTACTGAAAATTAAAAGAATAATAATAATTCTTTAGACTGCTCTTTTTGCACATGAATGCTGTTCTTTTCTCTGAGCTCTGCTGAAAAGTGACCATGGGATTTACTGAATTCTTTTAGATGCCTACATTACGTATGGTTTCAACTACTCCCTCTTACATGCTCTGTCAACACTGAATTTAATCTGCCAGTGGATATCCCCTTCTTTTCATTTTGCTATACCCCCCGGAGATCTTCAGTTTTTCCTGTCTTTGACTAGTCTAAATAACTTTGTGATATCTGCATATTTTAGAACACTACTGATCACTCAAACATCAGTATTCATAAAATCAACATTAACAAAAAGTGGCTTTTCTCATGCTGAAAATTCTGTTTATTTTCTGTCAGGTCCAAATAACATCCATGACAACACACTGCACTTATTTGATGTTCTCATAAACATCTTCTAAGAGCTATAAGCTTGATTTTTGACAAGATTTTTGACACAGAGTCTCCTTTAACCATTTTTTTGGCTGCTGCTCTTAAGGAAATTTGACAAGAAAGGGAAAATTTTCCATTACAGAAGAATCCCAGTCCGCCATAGAAATATGTATCTCCTAATGCTGCTCTCTGTTTCCAGTTCCACATTCCACCTATACCTCTAAAGACAGTTAGCTTGTGGCACTTCAATCTTCCAGTCTAGCAATTTTTTTTAAATTAAAGGACGAATATTTCGTGATAGCAGTTCATCCACCTTTTAGCACATTTCTTCAGAACTTTTAACGGTTTATTGCAATGGGACCCCAAATCAGCCAAAGCCCTGAAGTGGATCTGCTTAGGCCTTTAGCTCTCAAAAAAAAAGTTCAAAAGGCTGTTAAAAGCCAAGATTAATTCTTTGATCTAAAATCAGGAGCTCATCTTTTAAAACAGAGAAAACGGAAAGCAAGTAGTTAACACAGAATGGTAATCTGGTTTAAAAGCTTTTCTCCCACTGCACATTGTATCCTCGCAGGTGGGTCTGTGCTTTCAGCTAATTCAGGGACTCCGAGTGGTACCAGAAGCTCCTGTTTTTTTCACACTATCCTTTTCCTGTGCCTGCCCAGCTGGTCCTGAGGAGGAGGAGGAGGAGGAGGAGGAGGAGGAGGAGGAGGAAGAAGAAGAGAAGGAGCAGGACGAGGAAAGAGGCTTCCACCTCCTATCTGAGGCTTTTATTTCACCTAATCATTTCTTAAGGAACATAATACAAAACTGAGAGCACACAAATAAAACAAATACCATCTGTCCCAGCCATGCATGAGCAAAGCAAATTGTTGCTTTCACATTTGTTAAGTTTTTCATAGCTTATTCTGTATCCTTAAGAAAAGAGCTAAGAAAAGATGGCCCTTGCATCAATGGAAATGTGCTTGATTTGACTGAGCTGCCTAAATAAACCCCAAAGCATAGATATTGGATCACCTGGATTTGGAACGAGTCTCTGATGTTTTGTTCAGTAGCAATGAAAAATTAGAGCTAAAAGCCACCACACTGAAAAGTTTAACAGTGGCATGGCAACTGTCCTTATAGCCTTTCTTAACTACTTCCGAACGTATAATAATGAGGCTTGGTATAGCCTACCATATAGTTAAGGTGACTTTCATCACTTCCCATGTGTCATAAACTGAGAATGTGCACTGGACGGTCATTGCCGCGTGGCTGTTGTGTAGTAACTTGTTAAGCCACAGTTACTTGCTTCTGTGTCATGAAAAAAGAGAAAATAAAATCCCACCTGCGGAGGATCGCAGGAGATTAGCATATTGTGCTGGTTTTGGCTGGGATAGAGTTAATTTTCTTCACAGTAGCTAGTATGAGACTGTGTTCCGGATTTGTGCTGAAAACAGTGTTAATGATACAGGGATGTTCTTGCTATTGCTGAACAGTGCTTACACAGAGTCAAGGCCTTTTCTGACCCCAGCTGCCCAAAGGCATATTCCATGCCATATGACGTCACGCTTAGCATATAAAGCTTGGGAAGTAGAAGGAAGGGGGTGAGGGGAGCATTTGGAGTGATGGTGTTTGTCTTCCCAATTAACTGTTACACATGATGGAGCCCTGCTTTCCTGGAGACGGTTGAACACCTGCCTGCCCATGGGAAGCAGTGAATGAAGTCCTTGTTTGCTTTGCTTGTGCACATGCCTTTTGCTTTACCTATTAAACTGTCTTTACCTCAACCCAGGAGTTTTCTCACTTTTACTCTTCTGATTCTCTCCTCCATCCCACCAGGGGGAAATGAGCGAGCAGCTGTGTGGTGCTCAGTTCCCAGCTGGGATGAAACCATGACACATATCTGTCAAACACAATTAGATGTTCAAATTGCATATGGACCACTATAGTGCCATTCAATTAGAAATGAACCTGTAAACTGAAGTTAGTAGAAGAAAACCAAGAACTGATTGCAATACTGTGAAATTTGCTACAGAATTGGGGTTTTTTTTTGACACAAAGTAGCAGTATATCTTTAGTACTGAATCTTTTTTTTCCTATATCTGAACTGTAGAGTGATTCTAAAATGAAAATACAGCAAAAGGCATTTAAAATGCTGAGGCTGAGGGAATATTTTAATGGTAAATAATTACAGAATAACTATTGCATAGTCCTGTTTAAAGATGAATATATAACAGTAAATATTAATATATAACAGTTGGGCCTCCTTTCTGCACATATCTACCTCCTCCAAGGAATGTGTTTGCTGACTTAAATGACAAGAATGTTATTACAAATTATAAATAAGACCTCACACATTTTCCAACTCTTGTTGGTACAACAGAATTAATGCTAAGACAAAACAACAACAACTGCAGAGTTCATTCTTCTCAGTTGAGATCAACACAAATGTTCCTTGAGTTCCAAGTACATAGCCAGTCAGACACAGTTATGCCAACCCCCTGAGGATAACTACACTAAACCTGAATTATGCCAAATACATTCCTTCCTTGTTTATGAGAATAAGAAATTACTCCTTGCTGATAACAACCCGTAGTCCCCATCTCACCGTGTCACCTAAGCTGAAGTATTCCGGTCAATGAGTTGCACAGCAGTGACCCTGTCCTTTTTTGACAGTTGACTGAGCAAAGAGAGGATAAACTCATGACAATATGTCAAGGCACAGAGCTAGGTAGTCAGAATAAACGTATAAATTCATTTTACTTTTCTCAGTTTCTTTCTATTCCTTTGATGGGTATGTAGTTAAGAACAGACCTACTCCTGAGTGCCTAAAAATATCTTATATGTGGGAAGAGAAAGATAATCAAAAGAGACTGTTAAGATTATGCAGTTATCTAGACTACTCAGTGCAGAGCACAGTTTCTGATTCAATTGGAAAGTTGTTGCTGTTTCCCATTTGAAGTCATGAATATGTAGAGACACAGATTATTTGAATGCATCTTCTTAAAACATTTTCCAGTGTTTTTTACACATTTTTCAGAGGGCAAACAGATCAGAATGCAGTACAACGTGCCATGCAGCAAGGGCTGTGCTCTTTAAATAAGCTCATCTTTTTATTTTGTCATAAAAATGCCATGGAACAAGCATTTCAGGAAAGATACTGTCTTTGCTTTATAAATTTGTGCAGGGTATAGCATAACAAAGGACTGACAACTGGAAGAAGCTTTAAGTGGTACTACAGTACTACTGCAAACAGTATACAACAGAAATAATAAAGCACTGGCTAAAAGCTAAAGTTCCCCATACTGCCTACTGAAATATTTTAAACATTTTAAGACTGCCAGAGTTCTTTTTGGTGAGTTCTTTGACCTGTCTACAATACAAGGCTGTGCCTTAGAGGGGCTAGTGTTTACAGCCTTGTCAATCTACATATGAACTGGACAACAATAATAAACATTTACTACTGCACAGCAAATTAAATATCCAATAGGGACATTCCAACAATTTTCCTGTTTTATTCTGCCAACTAATTTTTAAATGACCATATTTTCTAACTAGTTCTAATGACTTGCTGAAGAACTGACTGACATATAGATGCATGAATATGCTAACTGAAAATCTGAAAGGATGTATTGACACTGCAAGTTTTGCTACCAGACAAACTTATCTTTTGAATTTGCTCATTGCATACAAGCACTTAATATTTTCCTGGCATTATTAAAGGACAGGTATAGAAAGTTAATCAAATAAGGAAGATACTAAACAAAGACGAAATACTTAGAAAATAGCTTTTCAAACTATTGGGGTTTTTTTTGTTGAATTTTTAATAGAAGGCTATGATATTGCAGAAGCATTTATGGCTACTAATAAGTAGAACTCAGTTGCTAAGAATCTCCATATTTGATGTTTGTTATTATTTGATTATATTGTCTGGCAACTCTCCAGTGCTGAAAACAAAGTTTACAAAATAAATATGAATAAAATTTTGAAACTGTCACACATAGAAAAAACTGATGTAAGAAACCATAGGCTTAAATTATTTTGGCAACTAACAGATTTTTTTTTCTTATTGCTTATCTGTCTATGCTGATTATTATCACACCATAACATGTGCAAAGACTGTTTTTTTGGAGAACAGAATATTAAAAGAGATAATGTCAACAGAATTTACATTTCTCAAACTATTGAGTGTATCATTATTATCTTAATTAGAATGATTTTCTAAATTACTTTTTGAAACATCCTGGAAATGCTCAAACATATACCTACAGTTCATAGTATTCTGATGACTATTTTCTGAATTTTATTTGAAGTTTGAAATTTGCATTTAGATCTTGAGATATGATCATGGAGAAATCCAATGTGTAAGGCATACTGAGTTTGTTAAACCAGAGAGGAGATAACCAAGCAACAGAGATATCTGGAGGAGGAGGAGCAGCCCAATCTGGATTGTGATAGAAGCAGCAGCTCTATAGTACATACTTGCAATTTCTGATTTTCAATAGGTCATAAATTTGATAGAAGAAATTCCTATTTCTTACCTACATTTCCAGTCATTAGGTATGAATTCTGAAAGTCCATCATTCCCATTCCAACAATGTGTATAAAATCTTCAATCACCTGCATTAACTCCACTGAGCCTGGATAGATCTAACAACAGAAGGTCAGACATGCTGTTAATTATAATATCAAAATCTCTACAGCAGCAAATTCAAACAGAATTCAAACATCAAATGAAATGTGAGACTTAACAGTCAAACTGCTCTTCCCATGTTTCAATACCCAATATCTTTTGTCACTGTAAAATAACCATTTTGTCATTAGATCTTCATGTGAGTGGACACTACTTCCCAAAAAGCTAAGTGAAATCAGCTTTGCATTGAAACTATGGAATGTTTGCTCTAAGTCACTGTATTTATAAAAAAAATTAAAAAATTACTGTCCATTACTTTCATTAATGGTTAAAGCATTTCATATTCCAGAATAATTCTAATTAAAATATTCTTCCTTCCTCTGCAAGATACCTTAAATAACTTCAGAACTATCTATACAAACAGCTGAATGCAAATCTTACGATGGCCTCTCCAGCATGATAAACCTTCGTTGCTTTGATCAATATTTAAGTAATATAAATTGTTAATGGTAATACTGTTTTCATTGCTGATGTGAAGTAGTAGAATCATAGAATAGCTGAGGTTGGAAGGGGCCTCAGGAGATCATCTAATCCAACCCCCTGCTCAGAGCATGATCAGCTCCAGCAGGTTGCCCAGGACTGCATCCATTTGGATTTTTAACATCTCCCAGGATGGAGACCACAGAGCCTGTCTGCACAACATTTTCTGGCATGCAATCACTCTCACAGTGAAAAGGTGTTTCTTAAATTTAAATGGAATTCTCTGTATTTTAATTTTTGCCCCTTGCTTCTTTTCCTGCCACTGGACACCACTGAGAAGAGTCTGGCTCAGTCTTCTTTACTCCCTCACCTCAGGAATTTTTAACATTGACAGGATCCCCCCTGAGGTTTCTCTTTTCCAAGGAAAATAGTGTCCAGTCTTTCAGCTTCTCCTTGCATACCAGGTGCTCGAGTCCCCTAAATATCTTCATGGCTCTTCACTTGGCTTATTTCATTACATCAATGTACTGGGTAGCCCAGAACTGGACACAGTAAACTAAAATAAATTGCAGTAGTCTTTGCATTGCTAATGCAGCCTCTCAATATGACTTTCAAAATGCTAAGGACTAGCACATTTCTAAGAAATATAGTTTACTTGCAAAGCTGTAAGCTACCATGACCATAAATATATTAAAAATCATTGTATTCAACAATAATGATGCATCATCAAAACTGCATTAAAGTTCAAAACAGTTATCAATAAGCCTAAAAATTCTGTTCATAGCACATCTATTAAAAAAAATCATTTTTGGCTGTTATGGCGTGTTATGAACAGGACAATTTTCAGTAATACAGTATTCTGCAATAGAAAAAGCCTGCACCTGTTCGTGGTGCTTTTTTCTTCATGTCAGTGAGATGTACAAATTTCACTTTATGAGAAACATTCAACCTGTTCTTTCCACTACCGGGACTACAGCCTCTAAAAATGCCTACAGATACTATAAATTCCAGCATGCTGCGCTCCATCTTCATCTTGCTTTATCTGTCTAGATCCATGGCTGCTTGGTTCAGGATAGAGAATTTCACATTGTGTTTTGTTTTCTACATGGATCTTTTTATAAATATAGGACAGCGATTTTTATGAAAAATATGTTGTGACATTTATGATCTAAAGATGTTGCAAATGCTGCTTCAGGGGAAGGAGACCTAACATGCATTTTCTTAATGATGAGTTACTGAGGTAGTAAGTGTGGTTTTTGCAACCATCTCACTCATGGCAGACACACTCCCAGATTATGTACTAAGGATAAATTTCAGTGAAAACATTTTTTCACCCTAGTTCTTGCGCATAAAATTTTACCATAATGACTTCAGCAGAAACTGTTGAACAGTCAAGGTTACAGAGGTACTCTTCATTTTTATATATCTGAAGCACTGGTTAATCAATAGGATGCCAGCAGATGGTTATGAAGAATATGCAGAACAGCTCTTGTGTTTTGAAACACCAGTATAAACTTAAGCACCGTGGACTTGAAGTGGTTTCCTGTGTGTAGTGCTTTACATCAGCTCTTAACAAAAAGCAAGTATTAAAGGAGTGCTGCTTATCTGAATGCTATATAACCTGTAATTAATGGTATCAACTGCTGGCATTTAATCTAGAAAAAAGGATGTGCTGAGGCACTGCAGCTGTATACTTGGTAGAAAGTCAGCGATTTGCTGACAGTGAGTACGATTTTCTTTCCAGCAAAAAATCCAGAAAACAAGGTAAGAGATCTATAACAGTAGCTGTGGAGTTCAAGAAAACGAATCCAGAAAACAGGGTAAGAGATCTATGCTAACAGTAGCTGTGGAGTTCAAGAAAACCATCCAAGCTGGCAAAAAAAGTTGGTTAGACTGCCCCTTGGTTTGCAATGTTTCATTACCAAGAAAACGTCAGCTGAGTGGCTGAACCGGAAACAGTCACCTTTACTCTTTTTTAATCAGTCAATAGTGTTTGCACTAGACTGCATTCACAGCACATAATGACTTGTGCACATCCTTTCCAAGTTCGATTCTTATCTTGATTTTGACATAAAAACTAAAAATGTCTTTGCATGGGTTGTAGTAATTTCAAATAACACTGATTTTGTTTTAAAAGCCAATTCTATTTAACCATCATGTTTCAGTGTTTTATACAAAATATGATAGAAAATAATATTTTGTATAGGAATATTTTGGTTTTGATATAAGTAACCTTTATTTCTTTTCAATACTGAAGGAAAAAAAAGAATTTTAGGAGTACTTAGCAGTTCGGCTCATCCTTCCCAGCCGGTACTTGCTTCGATAGTTTCTTTGAGACAGTTTGTGTAACTGCCCAAGAATAAAAACAAGACCAGTGGTATAGTTTCATCAGGTGCCATAGCTCAAGAGTCTAAGATTTAGTGAATTCCCCAGCTTTGTCACCAGGCAGCTATGGCCCTGCTACTTTTGCGTTCAGCTCATCTTGATGCTTGCTTGGGTTCCTGCCTGCCTACCAGTGCTGTACTCAGGTCTGTGAGACAATGAATTACCAGGCAGAGAGAAGGAGCTACAGAAAAGAAGAAATAACTTGTCTCCTCTCCTGTTTTCAACACTGCTTCTTCTACCTATAGCAATGAGGGGAGAGAACTGGAAATTTCTTTTATCACCATGTTCTCACCGTCTCTTCGTAGGTGCTGTCACCCCCTGATCCTTGTGGGACAGATGGTGGACATGGCATGGGCAAGCAGGTGGGGTGGAGGTAGAAGACGACAAGGCTGACAACATAAGCAGTGGTATCCTGTCTGTTCATTAGTGGGGCTGAAAAAGTTGCTTAATATTGGTGCCTTAATCTTGGTGCTGTTTATGGACACTGCCCACATGCATATGATTTTGCTGTTTCCATCCACCACCACTAAAGAAAATGACATACTTTGTCTATTTTTGTATCTATCTCTTACACAGAGGAACAGGAAAAAAAAAAAAAAAGAAAAATACAATTTCTGGCTAAATTACAATGGATCAGCTGCAGCATCATATGTCTACTGCAAGGTTTGAATGGTAGTGAAAAGTCCTGATCTTCCCTTTCTTACTCATATTATAAGAATGAACTTACAAAAATTAAGTTAAATAGCTTCAAAGACAATTAAACACCTATTGATTTATTAAGAACCCAATTAAATGTGAACAAATTTCAAGTACCTATACAACACAGTGGCGATGACCATACAAGAGCAGACCAAAGATCTATGTAAGCTGTTTTCTTGCCTTTGACAGTGGCAAATAGCAGATGTCTAAGGAAGAGTATAAAGGGGCATGCACATAATGATACTTCTTCTGGAATTCTTGCCCAGGCTTTAGCACTTCTTTGCCAAAGGATTTTCTTAACCCAGACTGGGATTTTTCCATGAACAGTCCTATACTGACTTTTCTTCCATTAATTTGTCTATTTACTTTTATAACTTGTGTACTTTCAGCTGCAGGAAGTTCTGCATCCTGACTTTCTGTAGAAAAATTATCTTCTAGTATTCATTCTGAATCTGTCACTATTTGATGTCCTTTAGTTATTTTACAAGAAGCACAAGTGAATCATTCCAGCATTCCATTGTCCAATCCACTCCTGATTTTAAAAACTCCTATTGCACACAAGTGCAGTTGACATTCATACTGAAATATCTTGCTTTGTTTAATCATTCTTCATATAGAAATGTTTCCCTGCCTTTGACTACTTCCATATTTTTTTCTCTGTACATAATTATCTGTTCATCCCCACCATCACTGTTATTTGTATCTGAATAAATTTGATAGTTCTGTGGTCACATTGATGAACATTGTCCTATAATGTTCGTGGTTTAAGCACATAGGAAATACTTACATCCCAGCAAAAGAATAGTTATCATTTGAATTTTAGACTCTTTTATTATAAACAAAATGGCTTTTGTTAGACTTTACTGTTTTATAAAGTGTTATCATAATATCTAACTTAGTTCTGAAATGAGTCAGTGTTAAGGATCGTAGCTGTCCTCCTAAATACAACCTTTTATAAAAGGTCTACGGTTTAAATTTCTGTAAGCTGTTTGGTGGGGTTGTGTGAGTTCTTTAAGTGAGTTCCAATGTGTTCTGCTTCATGAAAGCATCATTGCAGCTAGCCTTTAGTAGCATCTTCTGCTTTTGATTGTACTTCATTACAACATTAAAACAAAAGACAATGAATAATCCCATGGAATATAATGAAAATCTGTTCATCAAGAGATGCACATTATATTCTTAGTATAATTTTAATCTAAGGAATTAGCCAATGGGTCCTTGAATTACTCCTTTTTGAAAAGGATCAATTATTTCCAAAATACTGTCCCACTCAGGATTTCCTTTCACCTACAGCAGGGTGTATGTTTAACCTGATTTTTGAAACTGTACATTCCACTTTGTCATGACTCACTGAAATAATGAGTGGCTTCTGATACAGGGAATGTTATAATACAGATAGTTTCCAATTTTTTAAATAGATGAGTGTCCTGTTTTCAACTGTGTTAACTTTCTTTCTAGTTGCTGCTGTGTTTTGGATTTAGTGTGAGAATAATGTTGATAAAACATATTATTTCAGTTGTTGCTAAGTGATTACATTAGTCAAGGACTTTTTCAGCTTCCCATAGAAGCTGAGAGGGAGCACAGACAGGACAAGCTGGCCAAAGGAATATTCCATACCATAGATGTCTTGCTCAGTATATAAATAAGGGTTGGCCGGAGGGCAGGAATCTGCGATTACTGCTGGGGATGGGCTGGGCAACTGATCATCGGGTGGTGAGAGCAATATGTGTTGCATCACTTTATTTTGTATATTCTTTTACCATTATTATTATCATTATTATCATTATCTTGTGTTACTGTTCTATTAAACTGTCTTTATCTCAATCTACGAGTTTTTTTCCCTGTCCTTTTCACCCAGTTCTCCCTACCCTACTGGGGAGAGGGTGGGGAGTGAGGGAGCAGCTGCATGTTCCTAGTTGCTGGCTGGGTTAAACCACAACAATGAGTTACAAAATGCAAATCTTACCTGTTGTGCATCTTCCCATTTATCTTTGTTTTCTTCATCTAAGAGGTTACTAATGATTTGAAAGAAGTTCTGAAAAATCAGTTAAATAAAAGACAAAGTAAAATGACTTTCAATGACACAAACAGTCATATTCTTAAGTTAACATTAAGAAAGTTTTCCTTTCTCTATCACAGATGCAGTCTGCAGCCTATTTTCTGTCAGTGGAAGAGATAACAAAATAATATATTAGACTGATAAAACAGCACATACATTTTATGGTTAATTGTTCATTTCTGGCCATATAATTAGGTTCCATACTACTGCTTTGTATAAAATAAGAACTGTTTTAAACTTGCTAAACTTCTAAATGTGATGGTGTTCTATTTTCAAATTGCTCTCATTCCAGAAACCAGAAAACTACATATTTTGCAAAAAAGCAAAGTACACTAAGAAAACACCAGGCTCAGGGTCAATAGTTTCTATTAAAAATGAGAAAATGATTCTTAATTACCATAAACAAGGCATACTATTTCATTGGTAAATACTGTGTGAAACCAGGTGCATCTTACTTTTAAGAAGTTACATTTGCCTCTGTCTTTTTAATAATTTCAACAGAAAAAGAATAATTAATTTCTATTTCTTTGACATTAAACTGTTAATTTCTTTATCTGATTCTCTTATTAATTTAACTATAAGGGGAAAAAAAAAACCCTCAACACTAAACATATAAAAGCCAGGGCTTTTGGGTTTTAAACCACACATTTTAGAAATCACTTTCTTCCAAGTGTTTGGGGAAAACTTTCCTTTCTGATTTTGTACCAATTTCTATTCCCACCTTCTTCACCTTTAAAAGCTAAGAATTCGTGCAGTCTGTTCTTCTTAGCTCTGTATCACTTTTGGGCAGAATGTCAATTTTGTCTACAGCCTGCCAATTACAATTTATCTGTTCCTTCATAAAAGATACATTTACTTTCCACTGACCTTAGCTGAAGAGTGCAATTAAGATCCTCACAACCTCTAAAGAATCTTTGAGTGGAATACCAATATTGGAACTTGGATTAATGATCATTGCCTCACCTGCACTTACTTTTCAGCCATTTTGGGTGGATAGATAGGGCTTAAATAAAGTTTAAGTAAGAAGTAACTTTAACTCACTATTAATTTAAGTACAAAGCATTCGACTCAAAGTGACTGAAATGAGAGCAGAAATGACTTCCAACTTTAGTGTACTATGGATACTGTGGTTGTGCCTGAAAAGACATTAATTTCAAAATATGAACTGTCACAGACATTTTTCGTGTCTCAAAACCAAAATTCAATTTTGTAGGGTACAAAATTCAGTAAAATTTTTGAAACCTATTTTTACATGGAAACTATTTTTACATAAAAACATTTTTGCCAGCTTAATTGAGTCCTAACACTAACTACTTGACAAGCAAAAGGATCCATCTTTGCCTCATCATTAGGAAGTTAATTTTGCTAACCATAAAACTTACATGGATAAAAATTACTTTAACTTGGCAAATTTATTATAGAAGTGACTGACACCTTGGTGGACTTGGGCAAAATAATCCTGTACATTAATGAGGGCACAATTCTTTGCTCAATGAAGTCAGTGGCAAAATATCCATAAGCTTCAGTAACACAGAGCTTCACAAAAAGAAAGGAAATGGCTCAGTGAGCTCCTGTGAAAATGACAAGTATACATCGGGATGGGATGATGGGGATTAAAGACAGGACATAAAAGGAAAATGTTCTCATGGTTTCATCCAATTTGCAGTGATACAGAAGGGAAATTTCCAGTCAAGCTGAAGATAAGAAGGAGAAAATGTAGCTACATATTGCTTATATACCAAGAATACATTTCATCTTTTTCAGATATTCAGTAGCAAAATAAAGCATACTGAAAAGAGTTACTTTTAGTATTCATTGCAAAGGATTTGCCACTTTAACCAGGTTGGCAAATCATAACTGTGTAAATGCAACTTCAGCTAGGAAAAATGTACAGCTTTATTGGTCCCCCAAGTAAAATAAACTATACTGGCCAAAGCACTTTCATGGCACTATAACCACATCTACTCCAGGACATTATGATTTTGGCAAAGAGTTCTATTAGGTAGAGTCAGCTGTAGGGGGATTTTGCCTAAGGAAAACACTTTTTAAAGCATGATAGTTCTGTGCTTTTCCAGTGTAATACCATGGAGATGCAGTGGACAGAAATTTTAGCAAACTTTAATTTGCTAGGGGGCCAGCAGCAGTCTAGCTGCGGCAGCATGGAGCTCAGCGTGGGATAAATTACCATACTAAGGGGCTGGTTCAAAGCTAGTTTTCCACTACATTGCAGCCAGTGATTCCCCTGCAGAAAAAGTCTAAGCCTTAATTGCAAAAGTATCCATGTCCGTGTAATGAGATCTATCTGAGAGTAGCCTAGATTGCCTGAAAAACACTCAGGAGGTACAAATGTTTCTTGCAGATGATAAATTACATGTTTTTTCTAATAATGTTATGTGCTCATTAAATTTTATGTTTATTTTAGTTACATGAAAGCATTAAAATGACCAATAATTAATAGAAATATACATGAAAAAGCTTATGAATAATCCTAGACTCAAGCACAAACAAAAGATGAGCAATAACTGATTAAATACATACTTTGTACTTGCCAATAATCCATAAATGATGTATATGTACATAGTGACAAGAATATCAGGCTTGTTGAGTTCTTTTTTTTCTCTATTTCTATACCTGGTTGATGTCGTATTTATGGTAGCAGTGGAGGCTGAGATGTATGAAGTTTTTTTCAGTCATCAATACTGTTGCTTTGTGAATTAAACAGAGAGACGACTAAGTGGCTTTGCTGTTTCGGTAACAAATAGATATGAGGGGCACTTACAAATATGACAGGCAAATAGGGGTTGAAATATCTTTCCCCTACTTCAACTATTCTCTTGTTCGTTGCATTAATGCTGCAAGAAACAACACTGACAGGTACAAAGGCTAAGTTTTAGAATAATTATGGATGTGATCTGATGGTATTACTGCAGTAAACACTGAATCTCCTTGTAGAATCAAGCTCCTTCCTTTCATGGCAGGGCTTATGTATTACTGAACTGGCCACAATAGAAAATGTTGTGACAGCCAGAGCCAAATTTTGAAGTCCTTTATTTTTGCCCAGGCTTTTCTGAGGATAATGCCAGTTACAGTCAGGGATGGACAATTATGTTTTCCTAATTTAATTTCCTTCCTTTCACTCTTTTTATTCTGTAATACAATGGCTGCAGTTCTCTGTTTCAGTCCAAGTTCTTTGACCCTCTCTGCAGGAATGAAGCTGTCATAAATCCTTTTATACAGCTAGAGAATTCCCCCCTAGGAGGAATAAATAGATAGCCTTAAGTCACCTCCACTTTTGGACCTCAGCATAGGGAGTATGTGTGGGGGAGGGGGAAGGTGGGGGAAAAAAAGCATTGGGCAATCCTGTTAATCCCTGACTGACAGCAATGGTCCCTGTGGCTAATACCAATGAGATTATACTGCTCTAACTTCTTTGAGGAGAAACCTTGTTTCCTGTTGGTCACTGGATCAGGGGATTGTACAACTCACTTTGTCATCCTGTCCTGAAAGGCAGTTCCTTTCCTGCCATCCTGTCCTTAGAAGGTAGTTCAAGCACTCTTGGGCCAGTTTTCGAAAGTGTTCCACAACGTTGCTTACATTATGCTTATTTAAAATTTTAATTATATTGCAGGTAGCATCCTTCTCACACAAGTCATCTCATAGCCTCAGTGTGCCTACACAGTGCATTTTAAAGTAATTCCCATATTAAGAGAAAGACCTTGCTTGTAGAATAATTGCCGGACTCTTGGCTTCTGCTATTTCTGCTACTGTACTTCTGTTTTCAGTCACTGATGCAGGATACCTTCCATATTGTTTAACTGCCTCAGACATGGTTATTTTTCTTCCTGACACTATATAGGCAATGCATACATAAATATTGTTGCAAAAAAGATTAAAATACGCAAAAAAGAAAACCAGTCGTATAATAAATAAATCGGGACTAGACATGCATTCTTTAGAAGCTTTGTTTTGCTCTTGGCATCTGTCTGCCTAAACAAGTGGCGTTTTCTATGCAGCATATCAGGTAGTGGCATCTTCTTCTTGAATAGTTAGCCTGAAATTTTCAAATTTAATCTCACTTTTCTGTTCATTCTTTTTATTATGGAGTCTATGAATCACATATTTCACACTATTCATGAATATTAATACTGGATATAAGCCAGAGATTGTAGACAGTAGAGGAACTATCCTGACAGATGGAATGTATAAGAAACAAATATACTCAGATACATACACTTTTCATATCTCAGTTTTAGTGGAGGTGGAAGTGTCATTCTTGTATGGACCTTTAAAAATACTATTACCTGTAATTCATAATTATGACTTTCAGGGATTTTAAACCTCACTCACACTTTTCTGAGAATTACTTTAAAACAAAACCTCAACACCTGAGAAATTCTACTCTTTATCTAGTGCAAAAACCAGAATGGAATTACAACAGCACACAAAGCTTCCTCAGAAAGAAGAATCTTGGTACTTTTGTGTGAATTAATTTCATTTCACATTTTGTCACTTACTTTGATGATGGATAAGAAAGTACGAATATATGTGAAAGTGAAAATAAAAATTAAATACGGTCCTCCAGAGTATGGTACCATATGATATATGTTTACATATGGGAAAATCCCGGTTTCTCAGAAATCGACAGTAAAATTTAAACAGACAGTACTGAGCCAGGATTTCATTTTATATCATCAGAATTCAGTAACAGGAATATTGCTTAATATATCCCCTGTGCAAAATACATGCTTCATTCTGATTTCACATACTTTTCTGAACACTATGCTTTGGTGTTTGGATTTTACCTTAGCTTGCAATTTGTTAAGCTTTTTTTTTTTTTAAAGAGTTCTTGGATTTCAGAGTTCTTGATATTTAGGCATCTAAATCCTGAAATACAGTTATTACTTTGGTTTGAGAAATGCTTCCCTATTTCCTTCAAGATATGGTTTACCATTTTTTTGCCTTTTCTCATTTCTTCATTTCAAAATGATTAATCAAAAATTATTAAAATAGTACTAATAATTTTCCCAAGTTCTGCCAGAATACTATTATGTATTTTGGAAACAGCTCTGCATTGCTGAAAGGAACAGAACTTTTGGCACTGTCATTAGTGGGAAAAGAATCAAATTCTCTCTAATGTATGTAAACTGCAAATGACCTGATCTGCTAAGCCCATGAACAAAATCACTTGTGCCAAGCATTTTCTTCAGGCTGGTTCTACCACAGATTTCTGTAGTGCCTGTGAACCATGAAGAAGTCACACAGGGCTGTCAGACTGTTGAATGCATGAAAAATTGTCAGTAAATAACACCCTGTTTAATAATAAAACTTACTGAAAGTAGGAAAAGATATTGACTCTTATACAATTTAAAATAAAAATAAAAACTGTCCAGTCAAAATGCTTTTGAAAAGTGCTGTTCAAAAAAAATATTACTTTCAGCTGGCTACAGGTCAACACAACAAATGGTTTTATATGGAAGTTAAATTTTTTTGTGCATAGGAAAACAAGCAAACTGAAAATATAACAGCAAGCACTTTAAAACTTATCTCTGGAAAAATCACCTTTTCCAGGACATGTCCATTTATCTTCATGTAGATATTCCAAAGTGTATTTATAATCTATGCTTACCTTTACACAAACAAATACATACGCATGAATAGCATTAACTTCATTATTAATTTATGAATGATCATGAAAGTCTCTTTTTCATAAATAATATATACACATCTACCTTCTTAGTATTCTTTTTTGGTACCTCTACAGTCTTTGAAAAGTGTCTAAAATTCTCAGATATAGATGAAACCGATATCCTGATCTGGAAGTCCTGTGAAATATTTATTTTAATGAACATTACACAATAAATTGTGCAGCCCATTATGTAGAAATAATATCTGATAATATTTTAATTGGCCTATTGCACAAGAAGAGTTAATTTAACATGTGAAATAGCAAATTCATATCATATGTACTATCCATCACTCCTGTGCACTTTTGATGAGCTTTATTTATTTGGACTGAAGAAGCAATGCCAGAATTACATAACTAAAAAGTGTGGATAGATTGTTGAACTGGAATGAATTAGAACAAAAAACACTAGTGAATTACTTAGTGCAAAAAAGTGCCAACACATCCCTATCAATCAAAACAAACCCTGAAAGAGAAAGATACCGAAAATTTTACAAAGAAAGGATTTTACATTCTTCACTTGCTGCCTTGTTTTGGATAGTTGTCTCATTAAATGCAGGTGAGTCTTTTCCTATTTTACACCTGTATCGTAGTTTTATGTGAACAATGTTTTATGTCTATCGTTCAGAAGATTTAGTTTCCTCAGTGGGTAAAATAGGATACATGCAGTATACTGACATAAACTCCATCAATTGAAACATTACCCTTACAATGTTCCTCTTACCTGCACCCCATCAGATGCAGGGATATAACTTGCTCTTTTAAATGTGTCTGTAACATTTCTGAGAATTTCCACAGAAATAAGAAGGTCCCCTGCATAAAAGTTTTTCCTCTGAGTTAAATCCAAGAGTGTCTTGGTTACTTGGGACATGCCATCACCAGCCAACATCCTCTGTCCCTTGGCGAGGTGTTCTTTAATCTGTACCAGAAGAACAAAATGAGGATCAGAACCTATTTTACTGAGAAAAAGGTGGGATAAATTCTAAACACAGCCAAAAATATTAAAGCTATTATAATATTAAGTACTAAAGACATTATAACAAAGTTTGTCCTGTTAAAGAGAAGACAAAATAGTAGACTATGATGGCAGAATTATTAAATTTATCAGAGAATTATACTAAAAGATGATGAAATTGTCATGTTTCACCCATTTTCTTCTCTTTGGACACCAATAATTTCTCAACATCCATGTTCTCAAAGGAACTCCATGGGCTGGACACCATCTACTGCCATGATGCAGTAGGGAACTGATCTTCCTCAGAGGAACAGCTGTACAACCGCTGTTGCCACTCATTAAAAAACTAAGAGCTCTGAAATAAGTAAATGCCAAGACAGTCCTTGTTATAATCTAGTTTACCATAGGGAAGTATAACCTTCATCTCTGCCAACCCAGCTTGGTTAGTCCATATAAAAGTCATGGTTTAGATTGAAGCTGATAATGGTGCTCTCTTCTGTAGTACTAACAACACAAAGGTGCTAACTTTGAACAATCCTGGGGTTTTTTTGAAGAAATGCAAATTAAATTATCAATTTCTCCCATGTATCAGCCAAGAGAGCATACTTTAGTAGTAGCTCTCCCAGTAGATGTGTGCAGGGCCAGTGATAAAGTTAATCCAAAATGTATATGCTGGTAGAATAATCATCCTGATAAGAAGCTGAACTTGTGAATCTGATTAATTCTCAAAGCTGATTCAGCATCCCAGGAAGATGCATAGTGTATCACAAAGGTGTCACAAGGCGAGCCACCACTAAAAAAGAGTGCATGGTTTAAACAGCCTATTTTTAAATATGCATATGAATCTATGTATACAAACACAATTTCTTCCAAATGGAAGCTAAATTAAAGATAAATGACTTGAGATAGATCTCACTCTAAGCAGGAGGCCTGAAGAGAAAATTCCGTGCAATTGGCAACCAAAATGCTGACACCATCTCTGTAAATGTACCTTCAATTGCTTTTTAATTTGAGTTACTGACATACAGAGGGAAGGATGACTAATGGAACATAATTTGGCGGTGAAGTGGAAGAGTGTAAATATACTTTTTGTCACTTCCAGATCTCCCCGGCCACTTTGTGTGGATGTGTGCGGCTTCATTTAAAAAAAAACCCAAACCCACAACCAAACAAAAACACAAAGAAAACCAAAGCAAACAAAATAAAATTATACAATATGTAGTAAAAATAGTACAGTCATTAAATGGTTCAAAATAGCTTTCATGAAAGCAATCTAAAAAAATGCAATCATCCTGTGACGTCCATGATCTAAATGCTTTTTTTTTTTCATGCTGTTGAATCATACTTTGATTACAATCTCAAGCGGTCTTGAGATAAACTAGATGTATGTAACATAGCTGGGACTGGGTAAAGCGGCTGCTTCAAGTTATGTCTATGGCCTTAAGTCATCTTTGTAGCAGCTGGGGATTGTTATGGACCACAAGAGGCTTGCCCAAACCCTAGAAATACTTAAGACTTGGGATAATACCTGCTGGCAGCAGCATGGACAGGTAATGAATCTACTCTATACCATGAGTGCAAAGGTACAAGCATAATTGTACAATCAAATATTTTTAAAAAAATTTCAGTGAGGAGAACTAAGGCAGTTAATTGATTTTTTTAACAAATATTTCAGCAGAAATGCCTCCCTCAGTCTTCAGAATACTGTAATAAATAATTAGGCAAGATGCTTGCTTGCAGAAATCCTTTTCTGCAGTTTCTATTCATTTTAGAAGAAGGCTTTGAAATTAATCTTGTAGGAAAATAATAGTGGAGAAAAAGGTGTGAAACGGAAGAAAATTCATTTGAGTAAATTTAGGGATCTGGTATTGTATACATAACATTATGAACTACTTTCTTGGGAACAAGTGAAAGCAAACAAGAACTTGATTTGCGTTTTTTCCTGTGAAATGTTGCTATTTGCCTCATCTGCTCACACACTGTTTCTGGGTAGCAAATTAAAAGAGCACCAGCTACCACAGTGACACAGAATTGTAGAACTTTTGCTCAAACTCATCCAGCTGTTCATTGACCCCAGAGCATATTTCCAGATTTTGAGGATTAATAATGTTCAGTGTGTCTTTAATCAAGCCCAAAAGACATGCAACATAAAAGACAGTCCATAAAGCTGAACTCCCAAATCTAACATGTCCCTCAGGATGTACTGTGGGAAAGGCATCGCATAATTTGAAGGCAGAGCTTAAGAGAGAAGAACGAGATTCTTTAAATTCCGATAACAAGAGCAAAATGATCAGTCCTCATAAAAACTCTCCTGCACTCTTATGCTTGTATAAAGCTCTGATAGGAAAGCTGTTGAACTATTTAGGACGTTATTTTATATTGGATTATTTTGCTTCCTTTTGCTCCACCTGTATGTTCACCCTCCCAAATTGTTTTTTTCATGCTCTTGCTAGACTTTAAACTCACATTTTAAAAATGGCAGGGGCAAATTTGTTGTTGGGTTTGGACCATGCATAGCACACAGAAATCTTGGTCTCAGATGCTTTTGGAATGCAAATAATTAAAATTATCCCAGTTTTGACTGTTTTTTAGGCTTTCGAGCTAGTAAAGCTCTATTTTCAGTGAAAAATGTAACAGATCTCTAGCAGCAGAAGTGGGAGCTGTAGTGTATACCCTACAGTGCTTTCAGCAAGACATTTTGATTGCTTTTGGACACACTGATAAAAATCATCTAGCAAGTGCCCACAATGCCACAGGACTAAATTATTACACCTCTAGAAGTAGCCAGGGTTGTGGTGCAGGTGGTTTAAAGTAGCTCAGAATTATTGGCTCTTAAAATTACAGCTCAATTTGGAACTGCTTTTTAAAAAAATGGCATACCCAGATAGCTCAGCTTCCCCGCACAAGTACCCTGTCTCCCTTGGGACACACCACTAGTACACAGCTTGGTGAGCACATTTTCTTCCCCCTCTCAAGCTCCAACCCAGAAGTTCCTTTCCCTCATCCTTAGCTGCCCCCCCAGGTCCACACTGCCTTGAGTTAGACTAGCAGCATACCCTTAGAAGTAGCATAAGAAACCAGAAGGTTGCAATGCGCGTTAGGTAAGGAAAGTAGGTGAAAATTAGAGTTAATTAGTAGAAAGTTTTGACTATAGACAGGCAAGAAACGTGCAGGGCAGGGTAAGAATTGGCAGCATCTTCATTATCAGTATATTATATAATGTATTCTCCTGTTGTAAGACAGCCTACAGCTCCTAAACACAACATTAACATCACAGGCCATTCACTTAGTCGATATAAACTGGTGCAACACTATTAAAGCCAATGAAGATGTCCAGATTAGTATGAGTTGAAGGTAGTGGACTACTTGCACAGCTACCACAAGAATTTTTCAGTGTGAAAATACAGAATATTCTCATCAGTAGTTAGTATAATGTCTTTCTCACCATACTGCTTGTTTTCTGTGCTATGGTCACTGTGATATTATGCACTGTCCAAGAATTCTATTTTGGTTACCACTGTAGGTCCTTGTAGTTCTCTGTGAAGGTCAGTTTTTAGTGGTCTTACATGCAGGCTCATTAAAAATAAAGTTTATGAGCCGAGAGGTAGTGAAATGAAGCAGCTGTTAAAGTGACACTTCAGTTGTCAGACCAACCTCTAGCCACCTGTGCTATATGGCCGCATACTTGAAAAATTACTGAAATGTTTAACTGGACTTTGACTCAGGGTCCAACTGCCTCTGTCCCTCAATTTATCAGAAAGTATGATATAATAAAAATGACTCTTTACAAAGTCAGAGCTCGTAGGCCTCTGGCATTGGAGTACAAATTTATTACTGCATAATAACTACTGCAAACTTAACAGCTAGACATGTCTTAAAAGGACAGAAAACAGTGAACCCTCAAGGAACCTATAAAAGATTGAAAAGAACGATTAATTTGAAGAGTAACGACACCATCATCCTTTTTTTCATTATTTTTTAGGATGATGTTTGATTCATGGCTAGGTATTACTAACGATGTCATTAATACATTTTATGGTAGTGGGCACTATAAGAACCCAAATTAGGAAGCCTTTGATAGAAGTAAGGAAAGATAGCTTGAAATAAAAAAATATATCCTGAAAATGCTCGTAATCTGAAAACTACTTTGCTTTGCACCTCCACAACCCAACACTAATATTTTCTAAAATATTTTTCATAATGCTCTTAAAGAGCAGAACAGAAAGGAATATTCACATCACCTGGAATAGTCACTTGAATTACGCAACTGTACTAGAAACTAGAAAAGCTCTTGAGCGTGTTGGTTCATCCAGAGCACCTGAAATCTTGTCTTGAATGCTCTGAATCATATTACCTGACCTCTGTGGCTTCTAACCTTGAGGCTGGAATTGATAGTAACACCTCAATAATTATTAATTAATGATTTTGCATTAAATTCACTTTTATAGTTACGAGCATTGAGGTCCAGAAAGGTTGGAACCAAAATGCTGAAGTCTGTGTGCTTAAAGTTAGGCACATAACTTAAAAAGGCAGAGAATATATTTTTGGCAGCTGAAATATTCCCATAGGTATAATCCTGCACTGAACTGAACTCATGCAGCATGCTGATGTTTAAACCGTTATGTGATGTCATTATGAGAAAACTCTTCCTTTCAGATTTGAGAACAAACTTCATTACAAGCTGTGTTTTCTGATTATCGGCAGACAGCTCTTTAACTACTTCAGCACAGAATCAAGAAGTTTCATTTACGATCCCTTAACACAATTGATTATTTACAATTTATTTGTTTATTTGCAGGCTGTTTCAGTGTTCAAGAATATTATTTCATTCATCTTTTAAAAGTAACAGAGTACGGTCTAAAGATACAGCTACACATCTTCAGGTATGCATCTAAATATTTATAACCTAATGTCATGTAAAAGTCTTCTTCCTTTTCTATACATTCCACATTTTATGAAGGAGA